ATGCCAAACAAATCATTCATCTCAGTTTGGATGCACCCCTGGGGGTGACAAGGGAGGGCAGAGGTAGTAGGACTGGGATATGGAAAGCTTTTTTCCAGTTATTCTATATTTTGCCACTCTACAAATGTTTCAAGCACTCCCTTGCAATGTAAATATTTGTGACCTCTATTTTAATAGTGGTTATGTAGAAAGGAAAGCAGATATGGTACAGTCAAATTTAAAATTCAGTAAGAGATCTTGTGAATTGTCTGTGTGTTCTGTCCTCCCTTCTGCTGTAGCATTTGCAGTATAGATTACATTTTCTTAGGATTTTACTGTAGTTATGAAGAACTTTGCCCATGCACTGCTTGAAAGTTCACTATAAATGTCAGTTATTTGAAATATTTTGCAAGTTGTCCTTGGTCTTGAGTAAATAAGTACTGTTTATGTTTCCTGATTGGATTATGTTTCTTAAACTGGAATCCCTTTCCTATTATGGGAAAGCTCACACATACAAGGAAAAAGAGTGGCAGCAATAGAGGTAGAGCAGAAAGAAAAAAACCACAACTGTTTAAAAATTATTTTTATCAAATTATTTTTTGTGAATTTTTCCCGAGATGAAAGACTAATTTTATAGAATATGGTTCATAGGAAATTTTAAAATTAAATGAGAAATGAGCATCCTTTGCTTCAAATTAATATTCATGATTTATTTATAGTGACCATAATTATATTCAGAACCTGACCTTCAATCTACTTATTCTCAGACTTGCATTACAAAAGTGATATTCCAAAAACTGCATTCAGAAATAAGCATTTCTTTTTGAATTAAATTGATTTAAATGCTCGAATTCCATGAATTAAGGATATGGGAGGTTCATACTTGTATTATCCAGCTACATAGTAAATCAATCTGCAGCAAATTAACATGAGTGTGAAAGTTACATTGCACCATATAAAGGCAGATCCTCCTGTTTCTAAGGCTGATGAAAGCTGAATTCTTTTGAACATGCAATATACCTAAAAATGGTGGTAGACATCTATCGAGATTTTTTAAAAGCCCACCTTCTGTTAAACTTCCATTAGATAAAACAACTCAGTTTAAAGCAAAATGCATATCTACATACTTTCCTGAGTTTAAACAACAGGCAAGTGGCCTGAGGTATTTTTTGTTCTCAGAAGTATTGAGACTCATCACCTTCCTTTGAGATCCATTTGAAATTCCACTTAAATGTAAGTCAAGATTTTTTTTACTGCTAACACTAGCACAGGTTGCCCAGAGAAAGAAGTCTCGCTCCTCAAAGTCAGAGTGGGCTCTAGCTGACCCTGATCTGAGCAGGGAGTTGAACTAGACTATCTCTAGAGGTCTCTTCCAAACTCAGCCATTCCATAATACTTGTTGGAAAAGATCATCAAAGGGGCTAGACTTAATCCTCTCTGTATAAGAGAAAAACTATCCAAAAAGAGTCTGGCATTCAAATAACTGTTTGAAAAGACTCTGTCTCAGTTGGTTTTAAGAGATGCCTGTAGATATGTTAACATGTAAAGCTCACCTCAGCTTAACTGAATAGGCAACTGGGAGACTAGGAGTACTATTGCTATGGTACAGTAATTCAAGAAGCATTTAGTAATAAAAAAGGGATTTCTATTTGCTCTTTTAGGCCAACTTCATTCATACTATCTGCTTTAGTAAATGTAGAAACATTAGTAGAAATTACTGCTGTACTGACTAGATAATGATAATAAAAGGGCAATTGCAGTTGAGTTTAGGAGTTGAAATTTAGCTCAATAAAACAGCACAACATACATGCATAATAAATAATTCTGACTAATTTCTGTTGGAAAAGGTGACAGAATTATTTACAAGTAGGTGAGAGATCATGGAGTCTAATCAGTTTATAATCACAGAGTATGCTGTCGATTAAAAGTGTCATTTGATAGGTTTTTAAGCACTGCTAATTAGCAGAAGGGTAAATTAAGTGCAGCTGTTGATGAACCAGACAGAATCCTTGAAAGTTATTACTTTTGCTGTATTTTAATGCTATTACAAGAAATGCAAAAGCTGTTTCATCCCTTCATTTTTATCATAAACACTATCTTCACAGTCATAGTTCTATTGAGACAGTCTAGAGGTAAAATTTTCTACTACAGCTGTACGTAAATATTTTAAATCTTGTTCTCATCGGAATCAATTAATGCAGTATGATACAGAAAATATATGTATTCATATTTGATCTTTGTTCAAATAAAGAGAACAGCCTAAGAGTGCTAGGGTAAATGAGTAAGTTATAACACCTTGGTAAAATAGGAGACATGACCATATTTCTAAAATCTGAGGGTGATATTAGTGATATTCTTTTTTCCCATCTGTATTCATAGATGTTTCCATGAAGACTTAATAAAATTTTATAAGAGGATGGAGTTTCTTCTTTAGTTTAAGGTACTCAAGAGAGCTATATATAGTCCACTTAAAAAGCCATTAGCTAGCTGCATCAAAAATCCCAGTATTTCTCTTGATTTTGACATTGAAAAAATAATAAAGTGTTATTATATGGGTAGGCACTTAGATAGCATTTTTATAAAAGCATTATCCCAAGAAACAATATTAAAAGAACATTAGGGTTGCAGAGATCAGAATTCACAATGTAGGAAATATCAGTATAAATGTTACAACCTTACAACATTAATTTGATGTTTTGTGCACGTTGTACAGTGTGCGGTGCTGTGCCTTGTTGACTACACATTGTTCAAACACTCTTTGAAGGGAGAATTGGAAGTTTATTCAGGTGCTCTTCTGTATTACCATAGTACTGGAATGCTTCACACGAAAAAACAGTTACTTCACCATGACACCTTGTGTATGAGGACAAGGATTATATTAATTTCATTATACAGATGCAGGCCTTAAGGCATAGAGACTACATCTATCTCTACATGTAGTGCAGAGGGTGCCTGAATCTTCTCTGGCAGACAAAGCTGGTAACTCCAGATCTGCTACCTGCAGGAAATCCATAGGGGCTGACCCATATAGGTGACTGTGAGTACTCAAAGAAAATATTTCAGATCTGTCTTGTGCTTTAAAGGACAAATGTTCTACAGTGTTTACCAGAAGTTTGGACTAGCAAGGATACTTTATGCCTGGTCTGGTTACTTGTATGTGTTTGCTTACCCCAGAGGTGGTGTCATATGATCTTTATCAAAGGATCCCAGTGTCACTTGCTACAAGGGTAAGAAGGGGCATAAGAGCAAAAGATGGTTGTATGCAGCTGGGTAGCAATGAGGGTTATGAGCACACAGAAATATAGTGCTTGAACTTTTATGTGTTTCAATCTCTTTGAGCCTTACAACACTACATTGTATAAGGTCTTACTTTTCCAAAACTAATCTGCCGAACTAGTGTCAGGTAGGAATCCTGTGGTACAAGTAAAGATAGGATCCAGTTCCCTAGAGTAAGTTTGCTGTCTTAAGTATGAGACCATCTTTTGTTCTCCTGCTTTATTATCTCTTTTTTTTTTTTTTTTTTCCAGAATCTTCAACAAGTCCCGTAAGTAGGCTCCTTCAGCACACATCTTTGATTCCTCTTTAGAGCAGGTCTACTTTCTACCCTGATTAAGATGTCTCATGCATAAAAATAGCCTGTGATCTTGCAGTTAATGACTTTTGCATTCTTAAATGGCTAAATTAGGTTGCATGAACCATCCTACTTCTGAGCCCTTGACTTTTCAAACTTAAGAATATTATTTTAGCACAACATGCATGGATGCATTATTTTCTAGGAACTGGTGGTGGGGCTGGGGTGTCCTCCTTCTTCCCAAACTTGCTTCTCTACAGCCCTTAACATCCTCTGGTGATACTTGATCCATGAACAGAAGGCAAGAGGCATTGTGTGGAATTTTAGTATTTGAAATGACAGATAGTTGCTGGTGAACAAAGTTTTGACCATGGATTTGACAAGTGCTTAGTGATGTCAAATCAATGGTATGGCTCAGGAGTCTTTGATTTAGTTCCAAACTCTGGAAGGAAAAATGGATGGTAACTGTTGCCAACTCTTTCATCACTTCTCCTTGTAAGCTGTCTCTTGACTCAGTCTTTTACACTGTCTCACTATCCCATCAAGCACCTTTTTCCCTGGCCTGCTATCATGGTCAGTTTAAATATTTGAACTTTAAATATTTGAACCTCAATTCTCTGCAAATCAGGTTTAGGCTCTTCTCTGACACTCCACATCTCTTTGCTCCAGTCTTCTTATGCTTTTTCCCCACATACTCCTGTACATGTGTCCTACTATCCTTCAGCCATTTTCTATTTTTGTCACAGAACATCCTTGGAGTAATTTTTTTCCTTCCATCCAAATGGAATAATTCCTTCCATCAAAATCACATCAAAAAGAAGTCTGTCTGGGGTTTTGATAATGAACAAAATTGTAAATGGATTTAATTTTCTCCCTCATGAACAGCTCTACTATTTTTGCTGAAATACTCAAAAAGCATGTGTCTAAGACACACAGCAGGGAAAGGTGAATTCAGAGCTGTCTATCACAGAAGACCAAATTTTCAAATATTTGTACTTTAGGAGAGGTATTGTGCAGGAATTCACAGTAAATGGTTGTGACAGAAATATCTGGGAAATCACTCTTCACAGAAGTAATTATTTTTTAATTCCATATATTTTTTGAAGGATTCTGACAAGTTTTCCAATCACTTCTGAAGTTATGACAGTGATTAACTTGCTTTATATAGCAGTAATTATAAAGAAATAGCTGTTCTAAATAAACAGGATTTTCAGCTATCATTTATACAAGTTATATGTGGTACATTACCTTTTTATTATTATTTCAAGACAGTTGCCTTTCACTCTAACATTTTTGCTCACCTGCTACAGATTTACATATGTTCATAGAACCAAAGTAGTATAGGGGCAACTGATACACAAAATAATAAGTGAGAGGGTGCAGGGTACCACTGTTTTGTGGCAGGGAGCTGCCATTTTGTTAAAACTTCATAATGTACATGTTTTCATACTGCTCTGTGATAGGCTGACAGCTATTTCTTGACACCATCATACCCACATGTTCTCAGGTAGATCTGTGACTGTCTGTCTCCTTCCTTTGGCCCAGAAAGTGCTCTGATATAAAAATACATACCTTTATATGTAATTTATATACAATATATAGAAATAAATATAAAGAAGTGTACAAATATGTATCAATATATAATTATTTAGACATAGGTCCACAGTTATATATATATATACACACACTTCTACAGATGCATATTTTTATACATGTATATGCATTTATAAATATATAGTAACTAAATGTATATATCCACAGAACCATAGGTATAAAGCAGATAAAACATTCTGAAAGGAAGCTGCTACAAGTATACTTGAAATTGCCAATGTACAGGGACCTGTAAAATAAGACATTTAGTTTTAATGTTAGACATCACTTATGTTTTACTAGCTTTTATTTTTTTCCTGTATTTTTCCTGTATTTTACTGTAATGTATATAATTTCATTTATACTTTTTCGTAACTACCCTCGGTAGTTGTTACCCAGTTACCCACTTACATTCTAAAACGTTTAACTCCTTGCCTAGTAAAGAAAAGACAGACCTTGGACAGTCTGAACCCCCCCCAAAAAAAAAACCTCCCTGAGTACATCCCTAATAGCAGGAACCTAAAGAAAAAACAAAAATCAAGGGCCTAAGAAGATGCCAGTGTCAAGATAAGTGACTGAAAGCTGGAACAAACAGGAGCTGAAGGACGGATGAAGTAACTCTGTGACCACACATGGACACGAGAAACCTAAAGTTCACTAATGGACAGTGTGAGAAAGGCTGTGGGGACCCCTAGGGATGGGAGAAGACCCTCACTCTGTTTTTACTATGCGTGCTCAGACTACGTAAATGAATTCTGAAAACTCATTAGCACAAGACTGCCTTTTCTAATAAATCTAATGCATATGGATGCTTTTTGTGTATAGTAGTCAGAGAGTTTTGTTAGTAAGTGTGGCACTTGTGGTGGAGCCATCCCCAGTGCTGCCCAGCGCTGCAAAAAAGTACACCTGCTGAACAGTTATACTCAATCCTGCCTGTTGAGTGGAGCTCTTTGTTTCAGTTCTTTAATAAAAGCTAGTGGAAGCAATAGTTAAAGTTTAAATCTGAATAGAAAGCAATTAAACAAAAGCAAATGTCATATTCAGGGCCTGGTCTTTATCAGACTTCAGAACAATCCCTGACACACCTGTGGTGGGGGAACTACAAGAGGGCAAAGAGATGTGAAAAACGGGGGTGTAGGGGAGCATGCACCCCTCCATGGAAGTGACCAAGGGGTGCCTGGCCTGATGCTGTGCGTGGGACCGAGGCACCAGAGCCCAGCCCAGCAGAGCAGCTGGGGCAGGCCTGGGCCTTTGCGCAGCGCCTGATGACACAGGCAACACTGCCTGCCAAAACGGAAACCAGAGCAAAAGGCTGTTCATGCCACCCCATCCCAACAGAGCACATGACCAGAAAACGGGCACGGCTTCCAGGGCAGATGGTCCCTGAGGCTGCTGGGAGGGGAGGTGGGGCAGCTGCCACCTTGTACCTCAGTTATCCCTGGGGGGACCCCAGCCGCTGGCAGGCAGGGACACCTTGCAGGGGCAGGGCGTAAGTGGGCCTGGGAAGGCAGAGTGGAACCAGAGCTACTGGTGGAAGAGGAGAGGCAGATCTGCTTTAGGAGGTTGCTGCCTCTCCCTTTTCTCTGTAGTGTTTTCTGACTTCTCTGTAGGGGCAAATGTCAAATGGCTGTGAAGAGTTGGCATCTTGTGTGGAGATGAGTCTGATAATCTGCCAGTCTTTTTGATGTGGCTTTTTGTTGGGGGGTGGGGTAGGGTGGGGGGTGGTCTGGTGCTTTCAAAGCAAAATTAGCCTATTGCACTCAAGTCAGTGGGATATTTTCTTAGATAAAACTATTCCAAATTATTAAATGATACAAACACTACTTCAGTCTGCTCTCTTGAGTGGTTCTCTGACTTCTTGGTGCTTAGTAATACGAAAATGTTTCCAACAGTAATGTGTACTTCCTGCATTCATCCATTTAAGACAATGACAACGTATTTCATTTTAAAAAGTCTATTTAACCATAATTAAAACAACATATTACTTGGTAGTATGCTTAAATTCTCATTGACATAGATTGTGTTTCAACTGATAGAAATACTTGATGTTAAATGGAGGTTTTAAGTGCTTGTGTACAGCAGAACACTTTATAAGGAGTCAATTCTACCTACAAATCAGGACATGCAAGAGTTTTCTGCTGGAGAATTGATCAGCATGACAGGTGAGGCTAAATTAATTTTACTCACAAAATTTGGCTTGAAATCAGATACGTTTTACCATTTTACAAGAGCTGAAAACTGAAATCAAGCAACAAAGAGTAGTCATCATTCTCAGGGCGCTGAATTGGGTTGAACAAACCAATCAAGCTTATTGTTACTGCTGATGCATATCATTGTACATCTAAAAGAAATTATGTGAATGGCTAATTTCAGCTGAGATAGTCTGTAGCAAGAAGATAAAATTCAAAGTATATACCTCTGTGGAAATACATTTTAAAGAGAGACTTTTATGTGTCCTAATGCTTCATGGTCTTCTAGGATCATGCCTTAATCAGTGGACTATGGAAGGGCAGATGTTTCTTGTTTTCATTTCCTGTAATTATTCTAGTTTGCGTAAATTAATATTTAATTGGGCAAGAGAGGAGGAAAGGAGATTGACACTATAACTGTAACAGTTATTGGGATACTCATGTGGGTGAATGTCATGCAAATTCCTGCTGTAATTCATATGTATTTATGTGAATTGGAACATTTTCAAGAGGAAAGATGGACCATAACCAGGCTTATATTATTTGTGATCCAAATTTTAACATTCTTGTTCCTAATAAGACAGGAAAATGTTTGACTCCTGCTCCCATATCTATGGGAAGTTTGGTTTAACCTCTGATGATGGTGGTGACTGCTCTCATATCACAACTGAAGGGGTAAGATCCTTGCACAGAAAGTTTGATTTGGTTTGATTTGATTCCTTGGTGATAAGACTCAAATGTGTACCTCACCATACTAAGAAAATGACTTAATCACCAGGCTGCAGTCAAATCACAGAGAACATATAGGACCTGTGTCACGGTCCAAGAGAGAGCTCAGGTCTGTATTTAACAGTTGAATCTGGTTCAGGTATCATCTGCATTCTGATTCCTGCTTAAATAACTTCTTTTTCAAATTTGACGTTATTTTTTTTTTCCCAGTTCAGTGAACAAATACATTAATTTGTTTAGTATCGTCATGGAATAATAGAATGTATTTACCAATATAATATCGTCTCCTTGCTAGCGTAGGTATTTGGCAATTTTTTATACTCGATTACAAAGAAATAAATCTGCTTATTTGATTGACATGACACCCACATAGTACAGCAGATAATTTGCCACAGTGTCTTTAACTATAAATCCTGTTTGAACCAGACCTTGATTTGTTCAAGCCAATAACTTCTATAAATTGAAAAAAAATATTATTGTTTGCCCTGTTAATTGATGTGTTTAGGATCGGAAAGTATATTTTCTGAGTTTTCTGTTCTTTGTCCAGTTCACGAACAGATATTGCCTACATATTGCAGTTCAGATACATAGTCCAAATTATTGAGGCTATTCCGAGTTAGAAAGAACCTGGGAAGCACTGGGAAAGTGAAGGTTTTTTTCCATAAGAAATGTCTTTCTACAAATAAGAAGCAATGGGCTACTCTATCATCAATCAAAGATTACTAAAACAAACAAAACAAAAAAAAAATTAAACATGAACAACATGATAACAAACTAGAAATTATAAGAAGAAGCTGAAAACTGTAAATGACTCCTTGCTTTAAGCATATATGAAACTCACATTTGTTCTAGTGTTATAGCAGGTGTTTTACTAGTGAGCAGGAGTGTTAGCTTAAATTCTCTTATAATGCTCAGAAATATACATGTAGTCATGTGGAGGATTGGAAATTAGATGGAAATTAAGTAACTCAACTACTGTAATTCAAAGAGTGCCCCCTAAAAAAAATGACAGGGAGAAACAACTGAAGTATTTCACACATGTCAGGGTGCCTGTGTATGTGTGTGCATACATAATATCAGTTTTAAGAAAAAATATGCTCTTCTTTGGATTCTCTAAACATCACTCAGGTCTGATTTTAAACAATGAAATAAAATGAAGTGTGTAATTCACAGTCATTGTTACTTTCAAGTTCACCTTAAAATAGGTGACTAACCTTAATGTACATGTTACTGTTTTACATCATAATTCATATCAAGTAGCATCTCATCAGATGCTTTGGATTTCTCTGGAAAGCAAAGAAATAGCAGAACTATCTGTAGGAAGAGAAAACTTCATAGAGTGGTGCTGTTGATATTCACCCAAACACGTACTGTCTCTGTCAGAAGTGGTTTTCCCTGTAACAGACATTAGCATAATGTTTATGGCCAGTGAGATTGTTTAAGAGCATTAAAATCATGAAGTACTGTATGTGCTCTTTAATTAGGAATGTAATATACTCCATCTGGAGTGACTCATTCTTGCAGTCTTCTGTGGAGCTTGAATTTCCCACTTCCCTCTGCAATAAAGAGAACTGAACCTTTTTTAGTGACTTCACTTTTGGTTAGATCCTAGTTAGCTGAATAGTTTGTAGAACTGCTTTGTAGACTGTATGCTGAGTTATCGGAAGGAGCAAACCGTGGTTCTTATTTCCAAAGTCATAATTAAAAGAATATCAGTGCTAGTAGAAATCTGCAAATTTAATTCCCTCTATATTGACATGGGGCATTTGAACACTTACAATGTAAATCAGCTCATGTCGCAGTCTATACATTGATCTCGGTTGTATTTTAGAAGATAAACAGGGATGTCTGAGACTTTAGTTCTGAATATAAAATGTCTTCATTTAAATTTTGAGAAAAAAATATAAATCTACAATTTTCTTTTGTCAGGGCTGGGGATAAATATGAGAACCATATTCATCAGAGGAAAAACTGTCTTTGATTTTAGGTTTCACACGGAATGATGATTGAATTGATTTACTGCTTTATCCTTTATTCTAAATCACCATTGAAATCCCCTTTCTCTGCATCTAATGAAATGCGTACTTGACATGCAGTTCAGCAGCACATGCCAAAGAGCAGGATCTATTAGAAAAATGGCTGGTTGATTTTTGTGGAAAGAATAAATTTTTATCAAGAGAGAGTGACCAGATGATGTTGAGGTATAAGTAATGAAGCCTCCTCAAAAGTTACCAGTATTTCTGACTGCCTTCAAGGGTTAGCATGAAATAAATTGGTGATCTTGCTGTTCCTAGACTGCTGTGCAGAACACAGCATATTTGGAACCTGTCTGGCAGTCTAATTACATACATATTTAACTGGTGTATACACTGTTTTCTTTTTTCAGTGTATCTGACAAGTTAGCCCATTTCTCCTTCCATGGGCT